ATTAGGTTTGGAGAACCTAAAGATCAAGATGGGCCAGAGCCAAGAGCAGTCCTGGCTGTAATGAATCACATGGAAGCTGCTGCCTTGTTTTGCCCAAACACTGTGAGTGGAGCTTTGAGGTTGGCCCTGAGGTCACTGCTTGCACCTATATTGTAGACACCTAAAGTTAAGTGAGATAAATTCCCCCTGATAAACTGCTGCATGTCACTTGGGAGTAAAGGACAAGTATGGCCACTTCGGAGTGTTTAAAGACATCACCACAAAAACACACCTTAAAAAAAAAAAAAAAAAAAAAGGAAGGCACTGCCCTTTGTAAATTCCGATTATTTTGTTTGCCTGTTATAAGTACTATTTAGCATTACGATTTGTGCTCCAGTATCTTTTCCTTATCTTTTTTTGCCTCACCCTGAATTTGTATGTTATATTTTTCTGGAAGTTCTGTTTAGAAAGAGCTGGATGACCTCCACCTTAATAGCATATTAGATGCATTCCAGAGACTTTTATATAATGTCTTTTAGAATCAATGTAATGTCAGTATCATTGTACTGTGATGAATATTTGCAAGTTGCTTTTTATTTTCCTGTTGGAATGAGTGAGAATAAATACTATGACCACCTAAAGCTGTCCATTGACCCATCTCCCTCATAACCATCACACACAAGCCAAAGTCCAAGTTTTTTTCACATCTCACTTGAAAACAAACGCTTCTTTCTTTTTAATCACATAAAAAGGGTAAGTTCTTTTTGCATTTGTCATGGGGTAAAGAAGCACCAGGAAACCTGACACTGCTAAGCTGAATTCACCAAGTGGACTGATGGAGGAATAGCCTGTCAAAGGGCATGTTACATATGCCCAGGAAGAGGAGTCCGGGTGTAAGAGCTATTGATGTGAAAGTGACAGAACAAATAACAAGGGAGAATATTCACAAGGTATAATCTTAGGTGTCCCTCATTTACTGCTCCAGTGAGGCAGTTTGGTCTCACCTGGGGGAAAGAAAACACCACTAACCTGTCTCAGTGTCAGGCTCTGGGCAGTGGCTCAGCACTAACACATACTGTTACACCTTGTGTCCTCATCATTCTGAATATCCATGTAATGTTTCCCTGTAGTCTGTTTTATTGTTGGTTTTTAAAGCTCAATGTCAGCACAGGCTGGCAGCTAGATCAGCCCACACTATGACCGTACAGCTTTCCACCACTTCTAGGTATTGTTCTCCTGTCACTTTCACATCCATAGCTTTTAGGTAACAAGACTCTCACACAAGCCTTGTTTGCACTGGCTGGTCAGCCATGATTCATTACACCCAGTTATTTTTCTCTTGATCAAGAGAAGATCTTGATGCACTGATGACATTCAACCACTCAAGCCTTTCTGTCATTTGTCAAACATCCTTCATACACATACTCATACTTACAAACTAATGATGTACCATGCAAGTACCTCAGGGTTGTACAGGTGTATTCACTTGTTGCACACAAGTTAGTATGGCACAAGCAGCAAGTCAGTCAGCATTGGGCCCTAAAGGGATTAACCCTTACAAAAGCACTTTTTTGTTAATCATATTGTTCTCAAGGAAGTTTTCAGACCACCCAGTTACTCAAGATACAACTCAAACTTCATATACTTTTGTCAGACCCTACAGCTTGATTTGGTGTGGATGTTATAGATTAGGATGCAGTAACTGTGCTCCAGATGTTTGTTGGCACCAGCCCAAGGCACATGGCACTTACATACTCGTGAAGTGTCATGCTGTTGAAACATCTAGCTCTCCTCATACTATCCAGCAAGGCTCACCTGCATCCTCTATCACAAGGACAGGGCTTTGTTAGGGGAAAGCTTAACTGTAACCATAACATGAGTAAAGAGAGACTTGTCCCAGTTACCATGTTAGTGAGGCAGCACAGCATAGTCTGGAGGGAACATAAACACTTGCTCCGGTGACAGGTTCTGGGCAGCAGCTCACTAAGTTCCACCTTGGACTTTCTGCTTCTATGCAGGATGAGATGCTTGCAGAATGCAGTTTCCCTTCTCCTCCCAGCCTCTGTTACTCTGGGTTTATAATAGCCAGATGGCTGCATGGGCTATCAACCAAATCAGTGCACAGCAATACCACTGTACGGCTTCCCAGCAGTTTCAGGCATTGTCTCCTCTTTCTTGTTGATCCACAGTCCATAGCAAGGCTTGTCATACTCAACTGTTCTTGTCAGCATTGCTCTGTTAACCAAAACATTATACCAAGTTATTCAACTTTGGATCATTTCAAAGTAAATACGGATGAGTGTTTCCAATTACACTGTTGATGCAAGTAGCTTGGTCTGTCAGCTTTTTCACATTAGATTAGAACCTCCAAACCAGCAGCAATCTAAACATTTTTTTAATTTTGGATAAGAATAAAACTGAACATTAATCTCTGTCCAGTCCCAGCCTGTAAAAGAATACAACTGACACAAAGGCCAGTATGAGTTGGTACATAGCTGTAGGTCTGAAATTTCTCCCATTTATTCTTCTTTCCCAGAAAGCTTTGGGCTGTGCTCTACAAGTAAACTCTTATCTTCAGGAAGTGATTATGTAAATCATTCTTTCAGGATGGATCTTTCTTCTGTGCTCACATGCCCTTACCCTGCAGCCTTAAGTGGAGTTGATGCAAGACAAGATAAAATCAGTTGCTAGCTCATTCTTCCTCTTTTCTGCTTTACTGTTTCAGCCATGTAGAGACTCTCATCTAATGAACAGAAAATTATTATAGCCCATGCTTTGTTCGTCGGAACAATTTTACTTCCACCAAGGAAGAAAACCCCAAAGTCACTGAATACATCTATTATGCCTTTGCTGGCAGGAGAGGTACAGTGATGCAGGTTATATGCTGGACATGTCTAGGAAACAGCAGGAACTCATTAAATTCCAGAGGCCTGTGGGAGGGCAGGAAAAAATTGTCTTCAGTATTCAGCATTGAAAGGGTACTCCTTGTGATTTTTGCACCTTGAAGAAATCAAATAGGAAAGGTTACTCCCAAGAATGAAATAAACACTGTATAGAAGCACACTGCATGCCCAGAGGAACCTTCAAGGGAGGCTCTAAATTGTGTAACTGCAGAATGAGTAAGAGACTTACTAGTACAGAAGTGGTATGCATGACCAACAAGCTCAAGTTTTTTCCTATTATTCAGGCACCAAACAGTGGCAGGACCAAGTCACTTTCTAGACAAGGAGTCAGAGTTCACACTGCTTGCATAGGAAACAGCAGTTCATGGCATTTCAGCCAAGACTTCTTGGTTTGCTATAGGCTTCCAAGGTACATATCTGCAAGCAGTCATTCTTCATACTGCACTTCAGATGGTCATTCCCTCCCTCAACTGCCTATGTAAGAACTGATAGCAGTTTATAATTACTCACAGAAAGAAAGAAAAAACACACAAAAAAACCACCCCAAACCAAAAACCACAGGAGTTTAAAGTTGTCTAATGCTCATTTCTTCAATCTGGACATAGCCAGGTATCAATTACAACCCTCCTTTTGGAATTCCAGGCATACAAAGCTACCTAGAGAAAAAGGACTCACAAAAAATACTAGTATTATTTATCCTTTAGTCAGTGAAGTGAAAAATGTAACTCCACTAAGGTATTAAGTAACAGATACTTCACCCCTCAAATTATCTCACATTTAAACCCAATTTAAACAGCTATGCCAGTACCTGTGAGATCCGAATGAAGACTATAAAATAAGAGTTTGAAGGAAACAAGCTGTCACTTACGTGATCATTTCACAGATCCTTCTGTTTCTGTTTAAGCTGAGAAGAGTTGCCATCTCCTCTTTAGTTAATTCAAAGTCAAACACCTATAACGAAAAACAGCTGGAAACCACCTCTGAACAAATCATTTCAGAAGCAAGATTCAGAAGATTAAAGTAGTTCACATCAGAAAGGGTACTGCTTAGAAAACCATGCCTTCATGACACAGGGAAAGGAAAATAAAGTATCTTTGGAATTTTAAGATTCTGCTGGCAGAGGAAAGAAACAAAAACAGATTGCCAGTTGCAGTTACATGTGCCAGCTGTTCCAAGATGTTTGGTGAGCACCTTAAGTGTTACTCAATGCTTCCCTCTGTAGAAGATGCAGCTCTCTCCAATTCCAAACATCTGGAAGTCACTCACATTTCAGTAAATCCAGCTACATTACTCTGAAATCTTCATGTCCAGTACAAGGAAAAAAACAAAAACAAACACAAACCACAAACCAAACCCTGACTTAACAGTGAGAAGAACAATGTGGTTTATTGACACCAGGACTCTTCCTTTAATGTTTCTTACTCTATATTGTGAGGAATGTTACAACGTGTGGGCACCAAGCAAACCCTGCCCTCCACTTCATCCACATTTCAAAGAACAGAAGACACTATGTAAGATGACTGATAAGGTTATCAGAATACTGTTTTCAAGAGCTCTGTGTCCTCTTGCCCAAGGAGGACTTGGGAAGGGTGAGAAAGGATCACTGCTTGCTCTGCAAGGGGAGGCCATGCCCTCCCTGGAGGGGAGCAAGGGGAGCACCCAGGTCACTCCTACTGACTCACCTTGGAGTTCTCCACAATGCGCTGTGGTGTGACAGACTTGGGAATCACAATCACATTTCTCTGGATCTGGAAGCGAAGGAGAACCTGCAGGGACAGACCACTGAGTCAGAGAAAGGACGGCTCCTGCTCTGGAGGAATCAGAACTTTTTTCCAACAGCCATTTTCCCTAAGCTTCTTGCAAGCTGCCTTTCAAATCATTCTAAGTAGCACTTTGTGGGGGGGTGGGGAAGAAGTAGCGGAAGACCACACAGAGGACCTCCTTTCCCATTCAGGACAGTCAGTTCCTCTTCCTCCCACATGGGCTTTTAGCAGCCTAAGCAAGGATTTAATTCTTTGTAAGAGGAACCAAGAGGGGAAGTGACATCTCAAGATGCATCAAGAATCTTATTCTGGCTGAGGGCCAAAGAGATAGTAGTAGCACAGAGTGGGAAACCTGCATTTCTTGTTAACACCACGGAAGAGCACCGCAGTTCACAGAGAGCACTGACAGAAACTGTACCCTCTCTCCAGACACAGCTTCTTTAATGGCTGTGTTACAGGAAGGAGTATCTACTGTCTGGCACCTGCCCACCTGTGCTGGGGTTTTGTTGTGCTTGGCTGCAATCTCTTTGATCTTAGGGTCATCCAGAAGGGAAGGCTCCTCTGGTTTAGCCCTACACAGAGATAAAAAAAAGGAAGAAAAAACAACAACAACAGCAACAAAATCACTCCAGAAATATTCTACCTAGAATGAGTAATTAAAAAAAAACAATACACCTGCACCATTACTCATTCATTTAGTCTGAGTGTTTCAAACCTAAACCACACTAATCCACTTGGAAATTACCTGTCAGGGCGTCCAAGGGGACAGTATGCTGTCACAGTGATGTCTCTGGATTGGCAATAGTTAATCAGCTTCTCCTGGGAAAGGTATGGATGACACTCGATCTGCCAACACAGGAGCAGACACCGACAGCTGTAGAACTACTGTAGTGCTCCCATGCTCTGGGGATTTTTTTTTCTGAACCCTAAATACAGGTTGCCTTCATCCTACACTGCATATGGTCTATGTGACAATAAAAGGCTAAACTCTATAGGGCACCATCTTTTATATACAGTCCTTATGTACTTGTCGGATTTTGCTCCAAGAGGCTTATAAAAGTAACTGATTACAGGTCATAATTACAGCTCACGTCTGGATTCTTCAGCCCTCCAGAGAGAATGCCTCTTAGGAAAATACTCTAGAATTTGTAAAAAGCGGTTCAATAAAGGTCTTTCCCGACCTAAACAATTTTATGATTCTATAACAAGGCAAGACAAAAAGGAAATATTCTGCCCCTTTTTGTACCGAGAAATATCTACAGAGCAGGACTTGAGAGTACATCCTGTGTTTACCTTCTTTTCTCATCTCCCAATCCAACTGCAATCAGATTTTCATAATTCCTGGAAACTATTCACCTGCAGACACTTTGCAGTTTACCTGGTTATTTGCAGGCTTGTACTTTAGTCCTGGTTTGCTCAGGATTCTTTCAGTCTGCTCACGGTTAAAGTTGGAGATACCAATGGCTTTCACCAGACCAGCATCCACCAGCTCTTCCATGGCCTAACAGAGAGAAGAGCAAAGTCAGGATCCCGTATACAAAACAAGGCCTGAATACAGGGGCTTGTTTCCCTTCATGGGAAGCAAAAAATGACTGTTTAGACTTGCCAGGTTTTTGATTCCTATGAGGAAAAGCAGGTACTGGCAATATCTGTGCCATACTGTCTATCGCTCTAAAGAGCAAAGTAATTGTTTAGACTGTGAAATTCATTGAGTTACACAGGAAAATACTCTACTATTATCACAGCACTGGAGGCATCCTTGGTGGATGGCAGGCTCACAAACTGTCTATTTCTGTAAAATCTATTTGAGCAGTTCAAGAACTGCAGTGAAGAAAAAATGTAGAGTTATGGTCAAGTAAAAAAATTTTTGTAACTTCTCTGATCTGCAGCTCTACTGAAAGTTACTGTGTAGCTCAGTGACTTGAGATGCAAATCCACAGTGAATAGGAATAATAGCTTGACTAAGCATGCACATTTTTAAAAGCTACCACATACTTCTGTGAGTTCTTTCCAAGTAATTTTGCATACAGGCACAAGCCATTCTGCAACTGCTGAAGCTAACACCACTGCTGAGGACAGAAGACATGACTCTTCCACTGTGGCTGAACTTACCTCCCATGTATGTAGAATATCTGTGTTGCTGGGTACACACATGCCTTTGTCGTCTGTGGGAAACAGCTCCTCTCCTGCCTGTCAGCGACAAGGAAAATGCTTGGAAATCTGTTGAGAAGTTTGCTTTATGTGAAAGCTCACAACCATGATAGCTTAAACTTCTACAGGCAAGAACACTACTTCTTGTCTACATTCAGTCATTCCTTCCGAGCAGCAGGAGGAATTTGAGGCAGTTTTGCCAGTGACCCTTCCTGTAATAGAGAGGTTTTTCTGCTGGACACCTCAAAGCAATGATTTGCCAAAGCACCTAGAGGGAAACAAACCCCTCAGAACTACAGCCTCCAGTTTAACATGTTCACTTCATATATTATTCTTTTGTGCCCATTGAGGAAGAATGGTTTTGTTCTTTTTCCAGAAGGGTATCAGGCAACCTACTTAAGTACTGGGAACAAATAGCTTTGGTCTACACAACACCACATCTGCTGAAAAGAGGTATTATGTGCAGTGGCAGTTTTTTCATGACCAACCTGCTAATACTAGGAAAATTAGAAGAGTCTTTGTGTCCAAGTTGTGAAAAGACACCAAGACTGAACTGCATTTAACAGCTGTTTACTACTGTCATCATGAGACATTTTCAAGGCTTTGTTAACCCAAAGCTGGAGGATGAAATAACTCACTCAGCATTGCAAAAGCAACTGGTAGGATGTAGACTGATCAGACTGTAGCAGGACAGAAAGGCTAAGACTAGCAATAGTCAAACTGTGACATCAACTTATTCACTAATTTATGGAAGAGTTTAGGCCCCCAAGAAGTTTCACCTTTTGAATTGTCGTTGGAACACCACTAAGGCTCCTACGGGCAAGGTCAGCTCGATCTGTACTGTATTAAGGACTTGATAATTAAACAGAGAAATAGAAACCAGAAATATTTTCTCCTTCTCTGTGATTCCATAACATAGAGAAAAATTTCTGACAGGCAGCAAAGAGCAGCCTTCCTTCCCATAAGTGGTAATTTTTAGATGGGAATACGCTGATTCATAAGAGAAAAAGAGAGCACCTTATCTTATGCTTTCAGCGTGAGGCTGCCCCTAGTTTTCAGACCATCATTCCCAGTATCAAAGGGGTATGGAAGCAATAGTCTCAGGGCAGAGATCAACAACCTAGCTCACATGGCCAGAGCGGAACACAGCACAAGAACAGTGCTGCTACACACCAGAGACAAGTTATTGTCTTTCCCAGCCAGAGCAGTTGTTGGGCTGTAAAGCCACAGTTACAAGAAATAGCCAATAGCATTGCTGCTAGCGTACCTTCCAACCAAAAGGCCAGTGCACGAGGTAGAGATCCAGGTAATCCAGTTTCAAGTCAGCAAGAGTCTTCTGGCAGGCTCCCTTCACCAGAGGCTTGTCATGAAACGTGCACCATAGCTGCAGACAAAAAGCCAAGCCACACTGTTACCTCCTGGGTTAAAGCTTTTGGGTGCTCTTTTGCACAGGACAGAAATCCTTCATCCTCTTTGGAAGGTGATGTGGAATGAGGTGACCTCAGTGCTCTTCAGATACAGGCAGATGGGACTGGCCGGTGACCCTGAAGACAGTATGTAGTAGGCAGTGGTAGTGCAGCTATTTGAGGAGAATCATAACAAAACCCTCTTCATGCTACCACCTTTTACACCGGGTCAGCCTTTGCAGTAGATGGCTTTTAAATGAAGACGTGTATGTGTCATTCCTGATCACGTATAGAAATCCTGCATTGAATGTAGCCAAGAAAATACAAAAAAGACAAAAAGAAGTGGTTGGCACCAATCTTTAGCAAAGTAAGAAGTAGCTTCAGAATTCAGCTAAATAGCCTGTTTTTTGCAGTGAGGTGTGATCACCAAACCAGTTCTGTCTCTTTATCAGTTCATGACACCAAATGGTCTCAGACCTCTGCATCACAGGCTTCTACCTTGTTTGGTGCTACCTGGCCCACTCTACCTTTTCCTGCTTCCCTTCTGCATCAATTGGTCTGCAGGTATGAGATGCGTGGCCACGTTCCTCCTCATCCATCCCCAGAAGTTCTGGGTCTCCTCAGTAGAGTGCCAGACCACAATAAGGCTGTGGTGCTCAAGCTTTCTGCAGATTTTGAGGGGCAAGAATCAAAGTCATGGCTTCATTATTATTGGATTGACTGAGGAAGAAAGCTGTCATCAGACAGTCAGGATACAGGTAGTTCTTCTCCCTGCTCAGATCTCAAGGAATTCACTTTTGCTATCCAGTGGCTACAATGATAAAAATTACTGTCAGTGGACAGGAAAGAATCAAACTCTATCACTGTGCTGTTGAAGTGAAACAAGAATGTTCTATCAGGAGTGAGCTCATTTACTTTATGAGGTTCTCCAATGCTACAGCATAAATCAACTTTAGTATTCTATTGCCAAAATACCACAGGCAAAGCCAGCCTGTCCATGACCCAAGATCACCTTTACCTTACTGACGATGAAGAGGTCCTCTCGCTTCACAACACCTTCCTTGATTTTCTGCTGGATCCCTTCCCCAACTTCTTTCTCGTTCTGGTACACGTAGGCACAGTCAAAGTGGCGATACCCGGCGTCGATGGCAGCCATCACTGCGCCTTCCACCTTACCTGGTGGGGACTGAAGGGGAAAAAGGGCACGATATGTCTTGATTTGTGATTCTCACATGCTGCTCCTTCAGTAGCTAGAGGATAGACAAACGGGCTTTAAGAAGAGCTTTGCAATATAGCTTTCTCAGGTCTCCACACATCCCCTGAGCTCCAAGCCAGGCTCCATCCATCCCTCTGTCCCCCGGTTCCCAGGCAGGGCTCAGCCTCTGAGAGGTTTTTACAGCACCGAGGCCCCAGCACCGGCACCCGCCGGGTTGAGGCCTCCTCGCTTCCCCGTACCGCGGAAACCCTCAGCAGCTCCAGCAGGGCCTCAGCCCCGGTGACCCGGAAACCCTCCGCGCCACAACAGCGGCTCCGGTGCAGGACGTCTCGCCGCGGTTACCTTCCATGTGCCCAGCCCCAGGAGGGGCACCTTGGCCACAGCACCCAGCCGCGCGTAGCTCGCCATGGGCCCGCTCAGGAGCGCACCGCCCACCAAGCGCCTTAACACCTGCCCGGCCCGGGGTGGT